CTTTCCTGCCTATGCAGGGGGTCGGACTCGATGATCTATTGAGGTCCCTTCCGACCCTAACGTCTATGAATCTATGAAAGACAGAAATTAATATCCAAAAAGAGCCACTACATTTCTAAGAACAGAATGAGACAGTGATGCTTAGTCAAACGAAAAGCTCAAAGGCTAGATTTTTTTTTTTTTTAACCAAGGGTTAGGTCAATCGTTAATTTAACACTTACAGTAGTGAAACTTTACTTTAATATAAAATCAACAAAATTCAGTTCTCTGACCTGTTCATGCCAGCTTAGGCCTGAAGGCAATACCCTGTGCTGCAGAGTGGCTCCTCTTAGTCCTACAGCAACTAGAAATTCCTGCACAGAAAAGTTTTACAAGTGAGTTTATGCAATACTGGGGTGCATTACTGTAAACAGATAAAACAATTATACAATGAGGAAGGACTTACCTCTTGTCAGCAAATCTGTTTTAACTGTTTCAAGTGTTCGTTCCTTTCCTATAGTAAAATAAGCTAAATCAGGGCAACTACCACTGAAATGAAAGAACTACTAAATAAATGTGGTTTAGCTTTCACTTATTGTGGGACAGGAACAAACACATGGAACAATTATAACAGATCAGCCCAAAATGCAAGTAAGCTTCCCTCTTCCTCCTACCCCAGTTTTCAATCAGTGTAATTGTTGATCTTCTACGTCCTATATTAGTTCAGACTTGAACTAATTTCAATAGGTGAAAGATCAGATCCAACTATGAATTCAGGAAGCAAGAGTTTCAGAAAGATGGCACTATCCTAATGATGTACCAATATCTATATTTTTAAAATCATCCACAGATTATCTTTGACTGTATCAAGAACACTGTTATATTGTGCACAGTAATATGCAGACTAAAAAATACCAAGAAGCTTCATCAAGAAACTCCAGACCTCCCTCCCCAAACACCTGTATGTCACTGCTCAAACATGGAGGCAAAGCAGAGTCAGGGGAAGGCAAGTCTAGATAAGGGAAACGTGGCTAACTGAGCAAAAAGTATCATCCTTTAAAGAAAAGTCATACAGCCAGGGTCAGGAAATATACAAAGGTTGTTGCGCTGCTAAACGGCACGCACAAAGTAACATGACCATAAGGCATATTAGTATGGTTGTATAATATACCTAAAACATTCAAATTTCTATAAACTACAAAAGCAAGTTTATAATGGAAATAGAAATTTGAAGTTATTTCTGTCTACTGATAGCCTTTACAAAAATGTATGAACACTGTAAATCTTTTATGCAAACTGAAAAAACCTGGACAATACATGGAAGCTAATCTTTGGAAACACATACCTTTGTATTGCTTTCCAGTTTATCAGACTGGATTTTCACTGCAACAGAGAGCATACTTAAACAGTCCACTCCCACACCATCTGAAGACGTCCCGCAGAGACCATCTTCTTCAGAAAAATAAATGGTAGGTTCTAACCAATGGGGATGTATCATACTAGGCAGGCGTATCTCAGATGAAGGAACAGTTCCATCGACCATACCTGCATAGAGATGTAGTCAGAAAATTGTGATCTAGATAAGGCTAATGGAAATCCTTTTCCCTTTTCCTGGCTATTATTTTAATTATTATTAAATATAGTCAGCAATGCACAATTAAAACTGCGGATCCCACTGGAGAGGTTTCCAATGTTCTCCAACATTTACAACAATCAATAGCAATTAACTTTGCCATATTATTAGCAAAATAGAAACCAAAGTTCAAACATGAAGACAAGGAAAACTTCCGTTCGTGTAGTCTCTCTCCCTAGAGAGTTAGTGATAGTTAGGTTAATGTTATACATCTTCTTCTGATCATGACAGATGGTGCCAGATGTACTTCCAACCCTCCAATGACTGCTGAAATAGAGATCTACACACTGACGGTCTCTAAACCCCACTGCCATTAGTTTGAAGTTACCTGAAGAGGAAATCTTATAGCTGATAGTTTCATTGTTTCAAGAGGAAGAGAATGGACCTATCAGCCATGCAGACTACTTAAAATTCTCTAGTGTCTGACTGCAATTTCGGTAGCCAAGAAAGAACTCTGCTATAGAAGTTCAAAGGGTATGGACTGAGTTGTTTGGGGTTTTTTTGGAATTACATAGCAATTAATAAACGGGAAAAAAACATTTTGGAAGACAGAACAGCTTCTGAGGATATGCTGCTGGAGGCCCACAAATCTTTTAAAGACCAGCAGATGCTGAAGCAGTTTTATGATAGACAGTTTCCAAAGCAAACATAGTTACTATTATTTTTACTTATGACTCAGGCTTCTTTGAACAATGGTAACATACAGCAGGACTCCATTACTCTAGATGCTTTACAAACAAAAATATTTCCTTGCCCAAAAGAACTTAAACTTTTACCACTACTTAGCCTTGCATCAAATTTTTATGCAATGAAATGTTAATTTCCTACCTTGATGATATAAACTGAGGCTGCTAGAATGAAGACAGATGTAATGTTTGTCTTCAAAACCTTCATATTTAGTCACACAAAACAATGAGCCACTCTTAAACTCAAACCAGAATTCACCATGCCTTCCTTCCAGTATATTTCCATCATCTTCCTGAAGGAAAAAAAATCAAAGAGAGATATCACAACTTGTGGATATTTTGTTGTCATTTAGGATATTATAATGCAACATACCACTCACTACTCTTATATCCATATTTAGTTTCTCAGATCTAATATGATGCAATTATGTTAAAATATTATAGAACGACAGTAACTTAAGTTACAACTTTAACTGTAATATTAAGATTATGATACTAAGACACTTGAAGGATGTTCATACAGCTTTTTAAATTTTTTTCCTGTTTGTATAATAACATTTCCCAAAAGCAATAATGTAACAAATGGCATGAAAGCTGCTGGACAAAAAAAGTAATACCATGACTTATACACCATGCCTGGAAGAAAACTCAGCCAGATTTAGCTTGCCATTTCCAGCATCTCACCTTTACATCTGTGAATATTGACACTAATCCATGGTTAACATTTAACAGAACAGAAAGAAAGCTCTGTGTGTTCTTGTTCTGTGATTCAAGCTTCTTCTTCCTGCGTGAACGATAGTTTGGATCAACCGTAGAATAATATTGCAGAGTTTCCTCCTCAGATCCACTCTCATCATCTACTAGAAAAAAACAACAAAATGGCTTGACACTAACATGCCCACATTAGCAATGGCAAGTATACAATATTTTTCTATCTTTAATAAAATTCAAATTTCACAAGAATATTTCAGTCAATATGAAATGCTGATAAAAAATAATTTACATTTATTTTTTCAGGATGTGTAATTCCTTTACTGCACAATGCAAGCTTTCCCCTTATCAACAATAGTTTCAGCCAAGTGTGTCTTGTACCTCTGTAGTGCTACAATATTTATAAAGTACATTACCATAATGTATTGCAGATTTAAATGGACTAAAGCCGTCTTTATTAAAAGTATTGATCAACTGGCTGGCCACTGAGAGTCCAACGCCGTATGAAATATTTTCAAATGTTTCTACAGGAGACGGGGCTGTAGGTTCCCACAATAATAAATCATTGCTGATCCTAGAAAGAAAAATATGTTATTACTACATTGATCATCTGACTATTTTCCCACTTGACTTAAAGCTAATTGTGTAACAGTCTTTTACAGAATTTATACAACACAGTCTGTAAAAGGATGAGAAAAAGTTCAAGAGCCAAACTGGAGTAACATATTAATAAAAAAAGAGATAAGATGTCATTAAGCATGAAACTAAGCATAAAATTCTGCTCCCTTTATTTATTATTAATATCTGATTAGATGCATACAAACATCAGACACCAAGTTCAGTATTTAGTGGTGCGGTACAAACTCTTTAAATGAATTCTGACCCTGTTCAGTTATTATATTCTGAAGAAATTATTGTGATTACTTCCTAGTGTCCAGGCAATATGCAGGGGGGACAATTTCTTGGGTTAAGAAAAAGTCTGCTAGAGAATCTGAAAAAAGATTTTGCTTGAAGCAGAAGTGAAGTTTTAAGCAAAGAGGCCCGAGTAGTTAATTCATGGTTCAGTTTACTCAGAGATGTCATACTTGTGTGGGGTGGCTGAGATCAAAAGGGCACAGTATCTCTAATTTTTCAAAACTAAAGTTAAATAAATTTAGTTTAGATATATGCATGTCATTTGTTAATTCGATTTTAATGTTATTTCCCTGTAGAATCCAATAGTAACTCCTATAGTAATGTCTATCCTTTCCACTCGTAATTTCATTTCCTTTTTAATGGTAGTGTTAAAACCACACAAATTAAATGCATGTTTTCTTTCTTCTGCCTCCTGGTGTCTGTGAAGGGAAGAGAATCTAATGATGATCTATATATGAAGAAATATCCAAAAATAGTATGCAAGTGTAAGCACTTCAAATAAAGGGGTCTTCGGCAAAAGCAAAACACAAGCCTATTTTCTGTTAAAAAAGATGTGTCAAACTATTTTGCATGGCTGGCTGCTTAGCTAATGGGGAGGGATAAGGCTTAACTACACTTCTGATAGTTTAGGCAGAAGGCAAGGTAAAGGTGCAATTTAAGAGATTAAATGAATCAGAGAATCAGTGAATATCTGATTCACTTAGTCTCTAAGGTGCGACTCTACCCTGTCATCTGGCTAACTAACATTGTTACTACCTCTTTCTGATAACTTAGAAGAGCTTTTATAGAAAACCTTACATTCTTACAGAATGATGCTAACATTATATAACACACTAATTCCTGCTATGGCTACAGATTTAATGCTCTTATGAACAAGCACAGTAACAAAAATACAGGTCATACTAACCAAGTAAACTAATGTTTATACTCACCTATTGTAAAGTTTCTCATAAAAGCTCTTGTTTGGCAGTGTTAAGTGAACATTTGGTAATGTAAGTTCCAGTACATAATGAGAATTGCTGATTGCTTTTTCCTGAAATTCTGTCATCTCAGCTGCATCTCCTGGCATGACCATCTGCAAAACCAAACCAAACCAAACCAAAAAAAGCCTGTCAAGCTGTTAAGGACTTTTTTGGACAGAAACTATATAAATCAGAAAGGCTTTTCCATTTTATCGACAATAAGTCCATCACCTACAATAACATTTTTTTTACCTCTTCATTTTCAAACATGACCCTACGAGAAGAAAAAGGGGAAGGCTCTGGTCTTCTAAAATCACAGACATCCTTGAGAGAATGAGATCCCCCTTCCTCTTCCTCTTGAAAGTTACCATCTCCCTCTTCCTCTTCTTCTGGTGCTATCCTTTCCAGAATGGAGTGTACAGCTAGTGGGTTTATTTTAAGCACAATCCTGATATTGAAAAGATCATGAAAAATGAAATGTTAGAAAAAAATGTCAAGAAAGATGTCTGTGCATTTTTGTGAATCAGCCTGAGTGTGCATATATACAGGGTAATATATTGAAATACACGCATTTATTATTACATGCATCTAGGTACCATGATGCAAAATAAAATATGGCACTGTAAACTTCCATCCAAAAAAGTGCATCTGGCATAAATCAAGGCGAAAGAGAACATTCAAGTGCATGCTGAAATTGCTTCTTTAATTTATGTAGCTACATTTGTCAGGCCTTCGTGGTATATCTACTACTACTTATATCAAAGTGAACATTAAGTGTTCTCATGTAATATATAAGATGAATTACACAGACACAAGAGTTTCAATATTAGCTCAAATTTTCTGGCTTTGCACCAACAATTTAATATAGGGGTATCAAACTCATCTGCATATGGGGCAGCTGAGACCTACAGGCAGCACCACAGGGCAGATGAGAGCTCCATGGATATGGCCCACGGACCATATCTTTGACACTCCTGGCTTAATATTTATAAATCAATCTCCTATGTCAGAGTTTTACTTTACTCCCATGTTTATCAATCACTTAAAGAAATAAGAGGATAAAGGAAATGATGACTAGGATACAAAATGGATGAAATTTTTAAGCTTTTACATGAGAGGCCACCCAAACTCTAAGAAAAGTCTATTTTATTAACCCCCAAACAAAACAACCCAAAACCTCCTAAATGGATTTAAAAGCATACATCAGTAACCAGGGCTGTCAAGTGTCATGTATCTGGCCTTCACATCACTCATTCCCACAGCTGATGTGCACCCTTACACATCTGGCTGCACTGCAAGAAGGCAGCATATGCACCTTTTTGCTGCTTGGGGCTAATACATTACTTACTGAATATGAAGCCTCTCCGACTTCACTCCCAATCCTCTCCGTTCTGAATTCCAGCCAGGAGGAGGTGGCAGTGAAGTAACACCAGAATAAAGTGAAGAGGTGAAATACTGGCTCTGAGTCCCCTCATCAGTCAGCTAGTCTAATCACCACGCTGTTCTACCCACCTAATTCAAATCAGCTGCCTAGGCATTTAACACACACTCCCCTCCTAGAAACCTAAGGGAAACCTTCCATGACATCCTAGCAGCCACCTGGCCAGGCGCAAGCAGGTCCAGGTACCCCAATTAAGAATACCAGGTACCTCAATTAAGAAAAAATAAATAGGAATAACAAAAAATTGGGTTCTCTTCCTGCTCAATAGTATCTAAGCCTTTTAAGGCAAAGGAATGAAGCCATGAAAGACAAGCCATTAGAAGGTTTTACTGGAGGTAGCAAGGCTGACTGCACAGATGTCTTCATTTGATTTCCTGATTGTTAACATTTAAAAATAATTGCAATTCCACCACCTAACATTCCCCCTGCCCTAAAATGACCCACTTTAGATTCCCATATTGCCACTTCCTTGGCCCAGCAGCCTCTCAGCTGTTTTCCTGTGAAATCGTCCAATCACCTAGCTTTCCCCCTCCAAAAGGGAGAAGACAATTTATGATTTATTCATCATCTCAGAGGTCATAATCCACTAATAAAGGTCTTAGGTTTTTTCTGAATAAGGTTCCAATCAGTTATGGTGCTCAGTAGCAACATGTTTATACTGTTCTTGATGTGTTTAAGGCAAATATCACATGGGCAGCCCAAGTTGGTTTTAGAAGAAAAAAGATAGCAACTAAAAACATTATGTTGAAAAATGAAAGATATTATTTTACCGAGGCCAGTCAAAGTTGTCAGAGGTTGTCAGATCTCCATCTATGCCACTGCATACTTGAAAAAATTTTACCGAAGATTCTGCTTTGTCTTCTTCAAACAAGCCTTAAGAGAAAAGTATATAGAAAGGTTAAATGTTGTCAGGTCAGAGTCTACCCACTCATCCACTAAAATACATCAGAGTCTGAATTATACTTATGGTATCACTATACTATGTTACAAGTGCTAGAATTTTCCTCTATGAAACAGCAAATGATTGACAAAGAGTGTCTCTTCTCTAAACAAACTTACACCACGTAGAATTAGTCCTCACTAAAAGCAATAAAGTTCCCTGAGCATCTACCAATCCATTAAGACACCAGTTATATGCTTTATTTTAGTCTTCCTTTGGGGCTTTTTAGTAAGTGAGATGCTTACTGGAAAATACTATTTTTTTTCCCTTAAGGATCATTTTTGAGTCTCTCAGTCTAGCAACTCAACCTACACTGATCATGAGTGGGAAACCAATTTGAAGTGTCAAAGCAGTATGAAGGCCCCGTCTTACATTTGTTTTGTAACAAGTTTTTAGAATTCATGCTCCCTGCTTACACCTTTCATTTTACAAAAGTCTTGGGAACGACAAAATTTTATCAACTAGATGGTTTCATTCTGGACATGTTCCATCCAGGAGTGAGCTACACTAGCTTTTTTCAAAGCTTAATCTGGAATGAGAATCTTTCAGATTCAGGCATATTTTTTAGCCTTAAGTTTACTGATTTTTTTTAATGAGATGAGACAAATGTTTCTATCCAAACCAAACCAAACTAAAACTTATAATATTTGCTGTTCCCAATACATTTGGGAAGTCCTGAACAACACTCTGCAACACCATAACATTTTAAGTGGTCACATGTTATCAGCCAGGCAGGTGGAAGGTAGGAAAGACTGGCACCAAAGAGATCAGCTGGTTCAGAGGCATGAATTTTCATAGTTGATAGCCTATTCCGTCAGATTCTATGAATGGGTTCTCCAAGTTTTTAACCAACCTGTCCAAGTCCATGTACCCTTCAAGTTCATTCCTAGCATCTGATAAAGTAGACAGTCATGCTGCTCTGAACCCCATCTAATTTGTAGCACTACAAAACAAAGTGCTACAGGCAGCTCAACCTTCAAAGTCCCCTGGTGAGAAATGCCACAAACGCATGACACTCTCTAGCACAAGGTAAGAGGGGGCTACTCTCTAGCTTGTTCTCCAGGGAGCTTTAAGGGGCTCCCAAACTAGATCACTGACAGGCTTGCAAGCCCTTTAAAGTTCCAGGCTCCTAAGCAGCCCCAGAACTGGCTGAAGCCCAGGAACTCTTTAATGTTCCCAATTTTCTGGCAGTCTTCTCACCCCTGCTGGCAAGCGGGGTTGCCTACCTCATCCATCCACCTTATGCAGAGTGATGGGGTTTTCTGCAAGGCTCCTGAGGCAATATGGGCTGATCAGGGGTCTCTGCCCTGATCAGTTTCTGCTGCTGCCACTGGCACTGGAGGCAAAGGTGAAGGGACTTCCTGCAAGTGGCAGCAGGAGCTGATGAGGGGTCGGGGGGAAAGGGAGAAAAAACCCTCATTAGCCCTGTTGCTGCTTGCAGGGAGGACTTTGCTACACCTAACCAGGGCTGCATCTCCACACCCCAAGGGGGGGGGGGGGGGGGGGGGGGGGGGGGGGGTGGGGGGGCAGTTCTGCTTGCTGCTCCACAGGACACAAGGCTGGAGCACCAGAAAGTATAAAGGACACATGAGTAGCCGAGCACTGGGAAATGGCTCCATGGTGCTGGGCTGTTTGCATACCTGGAGAAACGCAGGTTTCCCCGACTAGGTAGGGATGGAACTGCTGGGGCAGGGGCTATTGTTCCAAAGCAGAAACAGGGACAAGGCAACTTAAAAGCACCTCTGCCAGCTCATGCCAGGAGGGCTGGCAGGGAGCCAGCTGTTCTCCTTCCCTTCCCTCTCCAAGCTAGGGGGAGGCACAGCAGAGCACTGTGGGATTGTTGATGGAAGAGCCACCAATCCCAATGCTAAATTTGTCCCACCACAGCAAAGAAGCTGCTGTTTAAATCAGGCACTTCTTTGTTGTGGATCTGCTCATTTTGTGGCAGATTGGCCATGCTTTTCCCAGGACAAATCCCTTTAACACTTCACATTTTACCACTTGTGGGATACACACAAATTTCCCATAACAACAAATGAACATCTGAAGGGCCTATGGTACCCTACTTCTGCCTGACTTCAGACTTACGTGATTAGCCACCTCACTACCTTATTAGCCAGAAAGCCTCTATTTTGCCTACAGGTCTCAGTATATTTCAGCTAGAACTCAAGGCCTTAATTATAAAATAAAAAGCAAGAAAAAAACACCATGCTTATTTGAAAATTTGATTCAGCTTTGTGTTTCCCTAAGACACCCACACTGATTTCTATTGGAGTTTATTACAGAAAACCAAAACTACCCTCTCAAGGCAGGCAGAAATTCTGAATGTTTCAGTTCCCAAAAGATCTTTGTCTCAACTAAATGGCTGTTTTGCAATAAATATATATATATATATATTTAGCATTAGCATGACAACTGTATTTCTTACCAGTTAGCTCCTTAAAGGTAAGCTCCAATTTAATTTGTTCTGGGGTTGAACCTCCTATAAGCTCAGTCTTAAATTCCATATCTGTAAACTCAAGATGAAGGATCTCCTTCTGAAGCGATTTTCTAAACCATGGTCCTCTTTCCTGATCTGACCGTAGATCAGGTATTGGGAAGCGAACAGAAAGATCTAATGCTGGTGCTGTGACTTGGACTGAAATTCTATAGTTTGCAGGTGTACGTGAATCATCCAGAAAAACCTCAGTAAAGGCTTTATGCTAAAAGAAATAAAATGAAAAACAAATTTAACTAGAGATATAGCTTTTAAAATAAAAGCTATAGAAGTTGAAAAAAAAAATCACAAGCCTTTTCACCCACTACTTTAAATGAAATATACAGAAATTGACTGCTAGAACTGATACTCTTAAGATTTTATACAGCTAGTTATAAAAATGAATTACCATTAAACAGTATAAAACTTTAAAGTCATAAATATATAGGTAAGGAATTTGAAACAGAGCAATTCCCTCAATTCATTCACTGCTGCTTTTTGCTCCATCTTAAAGTCAATTTTGGAGAATATTTTTTTTACAGCAACAAATAGCTTCATTTCATATGGAGTGATGGCAGTATAATTAACTAGCTGCATGTATCCCACATTATGTCTTTTTAAAACCCAATCTGCCCACTAAACCCAATTACATAGAAGATATCGTTAGCCCATCTGGCAGTCTACTGATAACCTTGAACAGAGACAAACAAGCCTTTCTAATTTGTTACTACCTCTAGGGAGATGATGATGATTATTATTACTATTATTCTTTCAGTCAAGCAACGATTTGGATTAAGATAGTACACAAAAGATTATCAATTCAGATTAGGGCTGATTAGCACCCAGTACAACCCAAATTACTCAATGATTTTCTGGAAAGATAACACATTAAAGACTTAAAATTCCATCTCACTCTGTAGCTAGATATCGATATAGATGTGCCATTATGAAGCTAAATCCATCTTTGCATTTTCCACTTGCAACTGCCATGTACAACCAGGAAGCACACAAATAAATGACACTTTACTCACCAGACTAATGTGTTTGTTGTAAGAAGCATACATGTGAGATGCCATCATCTCCACCGTGGTTAGTTTCTGTGGCTGAAGCAAAGAATTTAGTCTGTCCACAATACTGATGTCCAGTTCACAGAACACTGGATTCAATTTGACTTGTAATTCTGCTTTCTGTGGAACAGAGCTCAGTCTTCCTTGACTACCCTAAAAAAAGTACATCCTCAACAACATTATAAAATAAAAACCTAAAAAGCCAATACTAAGGATTTTTGCAAACAACTTTCTGTGCAAACTACTAATATTAACAACTGTTATATCTTTAGAGGAAAGATATTACAGCAGAGCATCAATAACACTTCAAAGTCATTTTTTCTTTCCAAACTTACCTGAGGCCCTCTATTATCTGAGTGTTTATAATGGAGCTGAAGGCATGAAGTAGGATGTGAATCATTTTCTCTCTCAGAATGAAATGTTAGCAGCTTCAAAATAAAAAAAAAAAAAGAACGTAGTTAAAAGTAATTAAAAGATCTTTTTCCTTAAAAAAAAGAAAGAAACCCCAAGAATAGGAAAGGGCAAATTCTACTTAAAAGCAAGAGAAGGAACCCCACAGCCAGCCGAACCATATGGCCCCAACACAAGCTGCAAGCCAATCCAGAGCTCAGCTACTTGTTTGATGGCTACAGATCCAATACTTACAAGTTCCGATTTTGGTATTTAGAGCCTTGAACCTTGCATTTGAGGTTACAAAAATGGGTGTACTCAACTATCAAAACAACAGCAGAGAGCAGAGGGAATACTCCATCTGAATGACAGCCACTAGGATTACTATCAGAAATGCTATATTATGGCTCACCTCCATCTGTGAGGACGTGAGGTGGAATCAAGTTAAACGTCACCTAAGCAAATCTATTTGCTGCTTAACTGGCTGATGCATTAGGCAGCACTGTCTGTGAAATTTTTAACCTAATTTCCCCAACTATTTTTTTTTTTATTTCACATTTCTGTCATATCAGATGAGCTCTTCGGTGACAGAATATGAAACCATCTTGATTCATGAGCAGAGCTTTCAGTTAAAACAAATCAAATTTTAAAACCAGAGAGTCAATTTTAAAACCCCAGAGTCACTATAACACAAAAAATCATTTAGCAATTGGAACCCTTCCAAAAATAAGACAAGGACTATATCCTTGAAAACATCTCTACTTAGTTATTTCAGTCACTCAAGTGTGCTTGGGTAAGATCAGGTAACTTTAATTACCTCTGTATAATGAGGTTGAACGGAATGGGAATCAGTAGAGAAAAGGCATTCCAAAAGTTCCATTTGCCCAATGGATAAATCTGTACTGAAACATCGAGATGCAGACCTCTGTCTTTGTTCATAAGACACTTTGATGCCACTACCTATAAATCTGTTATGAAAAATGAAAGTATAAATAAATAAATAAATAAATAAAATATAAAATGTGGATAACTACAATAACTTTGACAGTTCATAAACAGTTGATATAACTCAAAGAAATACAAGGATGACTGTAAACAGTTCTGGCATTAACAAAATATTGGAATCCACCTACTCTGTTGTTTGGTCTTCTTCAGTGCTAAATACCTAAAGCTTAGAGTGAAAAATAAAATCCTTATTTTTTATTGCCAAGCCATGATATAGGACTACTGTGTCAAAGAAAAATTGCTTCCTAACCTTTTGCAAATATTGTTCAAATTTCTTCCTTGCCCTATTGTTATCACATTTTGCATAACTGTGAAACCACATTACAAATAACAAACCTCCAAATCACTTTTGTAATGAGTGTATTCCCATAAAGTGCAATTGTTTCTAAGGAACAAAGTATTTGAAACATCTTGATTTATTCCTGTGCACCATGTAGATTTGGTTTCATAACTTGCTCCTTGCTTGATCCACCTTGCCTGAAAAGACATCTGAGTTATGCACACAGTTCTCTCTTTCTGGTATTCTGAATTTTGGATCTCATACTGTCCATGACTATTTTAAAATCTAATAAAAAAGAATATACTCATTACATTTCAAGTATTAATGGAAATAAATTGTCAAAGCTTAGTCAAAGAATATTTAGTTCTTTGTTTGCTCTATTAATTAATAAATAAAGTTGTACCTAAGGTGGTCATGAGAACAAGCCTCTGCAAACACTTCCCGGAAGGACATAAAATCTTCTGTTGAAAACTTAACTGGATCAATCTTTTCTATTCGGGTAAAGAAATCCAATGCCATTGGTGTCAAGGGGTTAATGTTCAGTGAAGTTTCAGGTGGTGGCAGAGGGTCAATATGTAGTACAGATACTGAGAAAGTCCCCACAGCCAGTCTAAAAAGCAGCTCAGGTCTGGATTCATCCACTGAAACAGATCGGGATGGAATGGCTGAAACAAAATTAAGTTAAATTTGTCACTGAAAGCTATTTGTCAATAACAGCAAATATATGTAAAACATTTATCAAAACATGGAAGTCTTCAGTACTATATAAACAGTGAAACACAGCTAACATACAAATCATAATAAAAAGCAAATGTATCCTACAGACCAGATCCAATTCCACCTACTATGCACCTAAGTATACTTAGACCCTTAAGTATGATCCTATTCCATCTAGTTTGAGTCCCTCAAAAACTGTTAATGCACATACTCTTGTAATGCACCATGATCTTAACCTTAAGACTGTCACAAAAAGCAAAAGAGGAAGAAGGACCCACCCATCTTTTAGTTAGTAAGGGACTCAAGCAAGGGGGAACAAGATTGCACATAGACACCTACATCCAATTAGGCACCCAATGGATGGAATAGAATCTGGGCCTTTGCAATAAGCTGAACCTCTATTTAAATACAGAAAATTAACACTTCTTTGCTGAAATTAGCCTGCTTTATCTCATTGGTAAATTTGGCCAACTCTCCCAAACAACTCATATCTGGTCTAACTCACTTCTGAAAAGAGAGGCCGTAGGTACTTTTGTAATAAAGTACAGCATTTGCATATACTTCTAAAACATACTAAAGAGAGAAAAACAATACATTCTGAGGAACCAAAAGAAGAAAAGGATACATGACATTTTAGTCCTCTTAATTTTTATGTCTTCATATCAAATTTCAAAACAATCAATAAAAAAACCCCATCTAGTGTTACAAAGCGACTAGGAAGCCAAGCATGTGTTTTACTTACAAGTCCTTCTTAAGGGTGGTTGGTGAACTATATTGGGTGCAAGTGATGAACCTCTTGGTGGTGGTGGCTCATGTTTATTCTGATCCAGAAAATCACCCCAAGTTGGCTGAAGCTAAAATGAGAAGATAATTGATATGACACTTTCATAACACAAGAGCTCACAAACATCAGTCTAACACAAACAGCAACAGAAAAACAAAGAAAAAATACATCTATACTACCAACAGCAGCTTTCTGGCACATTATTTTGATGGTACATTAAACTACAGCATGCCTAGATTACGTATCTGGTGTCAAACTATGTTCTTGAGTTCTATCATGATCACACACTTCTATTTTTGAAAGGGGGATAAAAGTTTCCATCCAAGCAGGCTTAGGTTCCGTTAACCTAGGGAAACCAGAACTGCCTTCTCTGGTTCCTATTCAGCAGTTAACTTAAGTGTGCGCTTAATGACTAAGCAGGGGTGATCTTAGCTGCAATAATTATTTGTTGGGTTATGGGTTAATTTACACAATATCACATTTTGTGCATTTTTATTTGATCTCTGGTCATGTAATCTATATTAAAAAACCTAAACGTGAAGTTGGGAGGATATGGGTATTACAAGGTTCTGTTACTAATAAAGGATATAACAAAGCTGTAAGAAATAAAGGATACATTCTAGTTTTGGATCTGTTAACCCCATCAAAAATCAACATGCTGCAAGTTACTTAGCATCTTTATTCCTTTATGAAAGCTAGGGTGTGATGCTGGCGATGTCTATGCAGTGAGAGAAGCCATGCTGGCTCTGCACACATTGGCTAGGGACAGAAATTACACATAAAACAGTGTAAGTGACTGGAAACCGGTTCAAATCTGTAACACAATGGAAGTTCAGTGCATACAAACCACTTTCAAAGTGTCCAAAACCTGTTTAAGATCAGCCTAGATGGATGTAGTATCAGATTTAACTGCTAAAGGTTAAATCAGTTCACTGAACTTGTCCCAGAGCCCCTCCAGATTCAAGTTAACTTACAGCCCCCTAGCATCCCAGGATGCTTTGCACCACCCCCACAACCATCACCCCCATCCCTCTTGCAGGGTGGGCCAGCTAGCCTTGGCCCAAGCTGTCTGCCTCAGCAGAGCAGAGAGGCATGCTCTAGTGCCCCTCAGACTCAGGCCTGAGCCACTGCAGACATGTGGCTACATTTCTGGAATTAAAAGTGAATGTCTGTTCACTTGCTTACTGGTTCAACCTACACAGCTTAGACTAACCTGTGAAGACAATCAATTCAGCCTCAGGCTTTTTGACTGACTGTACTTAGCCACTAGCTCCTGAACCAGAAACAGTATAGCTGCCCAAGTGCATTACTAAGGGTGGGCTAATAGGCTTTGCTTCTACATAGTCTCCCAGTTCAGAAGCTAGCATGGACAGAGCTGCTTGTCCCATAGACATGTGCTCTATGTCAATAAATGCATATAAATTTGCAAGATATTACAACTGGAGAATGCTGTATGCATGATTTAGTTCATATTTTCTAAGAGTTTTGCAGTAAGATTTAAATAGGAAAGAAAATATACAATATGATTAAGTTGAACAAAACATTACTCCAGCAAGATATTAAGAGTTAATACTATACCACTGTAGCACTCAGAGGAGATCCTGCTGGGGTAGTAGTGTAGGTACTAGTTAAAGACAGGTCTAGATCCATAGTTGGTGGGTCTCCGAGAGGTGGAAGAGAGGAAAGGCTATGAGACATGTCCATATCAGCCATTGAGAAGAAAACTTCTTCTTCTAAGGGGAAATTTAAATACAATCAATTATACGTTCTTTTAATGACGAACATTATTTCTAGTTACCAAATGTAAAATTAAATAACTGCAGAAACAAATTAAACTAGATAAGAGATCGACTAACGTATTATTTACAACATTTCATAAATGTACTATCTTCCTGGGGCCTAATTATAGAATCATAGGAAATAAGGGTCGGAAGGAACTTTAGGAGGTCATCTAGTCCAACCCCCTAGTTACACACACACACACACACACACACACACACACACACACACACACACACACAAAACGGCTTCCAAAAAGGATGCATGATCAAGCCAATATGAAAAATCTAATTGCAGCAATGTGGTAAGTATGCATAAAATATAAAACGTCTGCATTTTTTCAATCTAATCATGTTGATAAGACTGCTACAGATGCTGTGGTTGAATCAAATATAAATTAGTACCTACAAAATCAGCAGTTAAATTCCCTGATTTGATATTATAATTAATGATAGATCATACAAAGTTTTATACGAAGTTCTATGTTACGTTCTAGGGCTGTGCGAAATTTCAGCAGCTGTTTTGTTTCAGAGGTGTTTCAGGCCATTTTGGCGCCCAAAACACTGAATCCTAATCAAAACGGAAGGCTCTGAAACATCTCCAAAACGAAACAAGGCATCTGAAACATTTCGGAAATGTTTCGGAAAATTTTGGAGTTGGGCTTGCAGGGAAACAGCTGTACGCTGCTGCCCTGCCGTGTGATTCTGCTCCACAGAGAGCAGAGATCCATGCCGGGGGGGCTCCGCCGTTGCTGCCCGCCCCACACTGCCCTGATGACACAGAGCTGCACAGGGCGGGCAGCGGCAGCAAGGAGACCCTGGAGCAGATCTCTGCTCCCTGCAGAGCCAGGTTGCACAGCAAGGCAGTGCTGGTCTCTGCCCTGTGACCTGGCTCTGCAGAGAGCCAAGATCCAGGGCAGCGCGGGGCGGGCAATGGTGGCAAGGAGACCCTGGTGCAGATCTCTGCTCCCTGTGGAGCCAGGACATGAGGCAGGGCAGTACTGGTCCTTGCCGCTTGACCTGGTTCTGCAGGGAGCTAAAATCCGGGGCAGTGTGGGGTGGTCAGCAGCAGCGAGGAGACCCCAGCGCAGATCTCTGCTTCCTGTGGAGCCAGGTCACATGGCAGGTCAGTGCTAGTCCCCGTCGCGCGACCTGGCTCCGCAGGGAGCAGAGATCTGGGGCAGCGCGGGGCGTACAGCAGTGGCAAGAAGACCCCCGCCAGATTTCTGCTCCCTGTGGAGCCAAGTTGTGCAGTAGGGACCAGCAGGCTTGCTCGCCATTCTGCACTGCTTCCCTGCCCCACAAACCTGCATGACAGGCATCAGAGATCTGTGCAGGGGTCTCCTCGCCTGCACAGAGAGCAGCAGCCCTCCCCTGGACAAGCCACTCACGACCGCATCCTGCTCCCCACTGGGGCTCTGCAGCCCCCGGCCCCAAGCCCTGCCCAGCTGGGCAGTAGGGCTGTGCAAAACTCCTAGCCCATTTGAAACAGATTTGGAAGAGATTTGGGCGAAACAAAACAAGACAGTGATCCAATACAACAAAATGAATCACTGCCCTCCAAAACGGCCGAATTGAAAAGCAGATTGCACAGCCCTATTACGTTCCCCTTCTCAAAAGGTCAGTGTACTTTAGTACAGGATGTTCAAAATTATTTTGAATAATGTTGCCTAGTATGGAAGACAGCCTAGTTGACAACTCACCACGGCTAGAAGGCGTTCTGGCTGTCTCTGTCTCATAAAAGCTCTGCTCAGATGATACTCCTGCTGATAAAGAGTCTTTTCGCAAGTAACGCTTCAACTCCATCTGAATCCGATACTCATCTTCCTGTTGCATTGGTCTGTTCTTCCTATCTTTATTTGACAATTCTATCCTACTGGGGCTCTCTGAATTCAAAGAGAAGATATGAAGAAATAATTTCTAATTTTCTTCCAAATCTCCAACAGAAAACTTCAACAACTAGTGAGAAAGTTACCATATTTTCATAAGAAATTACTCCAATTCGCAGCCCCCAATTAATGAAAGGAATGGAATATTTCCATTATTCTTCCAAGAGTCCTAAAATTATGAACAAAATCAATACAGTAATTAGGTTTCCAGCAGTAGGAATATAGCTAGCTATACACCTGATGTAAAATTAGTTTCATTTTTGTTAAAAAAGGATTGTACATTATGTGAATAATGAAAGCATCCACTACTATATGAGGCAGAATAAGATAGAAAAAGTGCCTAAAAGATAAACTCTCCTGCTTCAGGACACAAGTTACTATTCATGTGGATATGTGGATTAAGACAGATATAAGGAAATGCTATTTCTTATAGGACCACAGGAACCAACCAAGTGTCTGTCCAACCTGTTCTTGACAGTTTCCAAGAATGGAGATTCCACAACTTCTCCAAGTAGCCTGTTCCAATGCTTGACCATCCTGATAGTCAGAAGGTTTCTCCTAATCGCCAATCTAAATTTCCTCTGCTGCATCTTGAGGCTACTGCTACTTTGCATCCTTTCTGTAATCTCCCTTCAGGTATTTGAAGACCGTTATCAAATCTTCCCTTAAGCCTTCTCTTCTCCAGATTAAATAACCCCAATTTTTTCATCTTTTTCTCATAAATCTTGCCTTTCAAGCCCCTAATAATTTTTGTGATTCTGCATTGGTCTCTCTCTAAAATGTCTATATCCTTATTGAAGTGTAGGGGCCAAATCTGGACACAGAATTCCATGGAAGGCCTCACCGGTGCCGAACGGAGCAGAAGAATCACTTCCCTTGATTTGCAAGTGACACTCCTCTTAATACAACCCTGCGTACTGTTGGCTTTTTTTTGCAATAAGAGCACACAGTTAGCTCATATTCAGCATAGGGTTCACTGTAACCCACAGGTCCTTCCCTAAAATACTGTATCCCAGCCAGTCCTTCCCCACTCTGTATTTGTGCATGCAATTATTTTGTCCCAAGTGAAGGTTTTTGCACTTGTCCTTGCTAAATCTCACCTGACTGACTGCTGATCATTTCTCCAGTTTACCCAGCTCATTCTGAATCCTAGCCCTGCCTCCAGATTGTCTTTAACTCCACCCAGCTTGGTATCATCTGCAAATTTGCTAAGCATGAACTCAATTCCATCATCCACGTTATTAATGAAGATGTTGAATGATACCAGACACAAGACAGATCACTACTGGGGAACCCACTTGATACCTCTGTCCAACTAGTTATTGAGCCATTAATGACTTCTTGTTGAGTACACAAGCTAATCTGCAGCATTGAGGTCTCCCAGCCAGACCCCACAATGTACAAGGGTCTCCCATCAAGCCCTGACCTGGACAGCTCCTGCTTATCCCACACATCTCCCACCCAGAGCCCTGACCCAGGCAGGTCCGTACATAGTCCACCTCTCAGGAAAAAAAAAAAAAAAGTTGCTCATGGTTACATAGCTCACAGGACTAATGGTCTATTATTTGTTCCTTGCACCTTTCACTGAAGTATTTGATTCTGGTCACTTGGAGACAGGATGCTGGACTGATGGATCAGTTTGGTCAAAGAACGCAATGAAAAAATTGTAACCAAAAAGTTACTTGACCAGGATATTACATGTAAACAGTATATGGAAAAATGAAGCTTGCGTTTTTTATTTGGGCCACTAGGAATTAATGTAATAAAAATAAATGAATTTTTAATTCATAATCTGTTAAAGCAATTTTTAAGCTTCGTCTGAGGGGCCTGTTTGTTGTACGAGGTCTCTTTAGTGCCCTTCTCAAATACATATTTAACATTAATATAGGGTTTACTTGCCTGGTCCAGCAATGGCTGCTAAAATGTCCAGTAAAAGATGTACCTGCCTTGGTGACAGGAACAGGTGTATAGAATCTATCTGTCCATCTACATCCAACTTAAGAAAAAAAAGAAAAAAATCTTTATAAATATTAAAAGTTAAAACAATTTCCTTAAGCTTCCCTCATCAGCTATTAATCACTAAGTATTGCACAGAACTATTTTACATGGCAATGGGACTAAAATCGTAAAACAAAAACCTGGAAAGAAAACTTTTTAATACTATTTCTGAGCAATAGTTATTTGTTTAATAATCCCTCAATAATCAATTATGTCAATGTGAAGCATATTTTATGGACTATAGAAAACATATTAACATTTCTTGCTTTTGGAACTTAACAGAGTATCTAAAACCAGTAATAAAATATGATCAGGCAAATACTGCTGAAATCAGCTGATATGTTATTCAGAGGATCTCCCACTAGTGTTTCACAACATGAAGCATGCCAAAAATGTTGTGCTGTGTTCTCTTTAAGGAACAGATAGATCACCTAGAGAAATGTTATATTGAACCCTCAACTCAAATCTTGAGTTCTCATGAACTAAAGAGTTTTTTTCCCCTTTAGACCATTATTTAAAGGTGACGAGTTGGTAATCTTTAGAACTCTTGCATTTAATAAATCCCTGGCTGTTAGTAAATCTAGAGCTGATTACTGCAAGAGCTAGTAATATCTCGTGACTATTTACACATTTCACACCAAGTATATTTATAGTATCTTCCTATTCATCAACTGCCCATTGCCAAATAGACTTTGTATCAAGTATTTTTCTCAACTAAACAAATAGAAAGCTTTAAAATTCAACTACCAGTTGCAAGACAACTTTCCCCATTGTAGAATCCTGAAGTAGTTTCTGCTCTGTGTATGTTGCGTTCTTTGCAACCTAGTATATTCTATTTAAACTTTGAAATCTTTTCCCTCATTTTCCTCTTGTGTATAGGTATTTGAGCATGTTATAACCCTAAATGTCAAACACCACACTGAACAGCAGTTTAGAACTAATTTTATAATTAAAATTAGAATTTTTATGCAGATATGGTTATGTATCTACATAAACACCTATAAAATTGAAGTACTATGATTTTTTGGCCTTTATTTTTGCAAAAGTAAAATAATATTTTAATTAATGTAATTTAAAAGTAACATCATAATCTGATCATTGTAAACTTTAATCAAAAGTTGCAAATGTACACATTCTTAAATTCATTTTAGATTAATCATATACTAATTAAATTTAATCATTTTAAAAACTTCAAAATAAAGAGTTTCAAACCAGTCATTCAGGCACTCCATCCTTTTATTATCATTTTAAAATCTGGTACCTCTATTACACGAAGGAAAAAAAACAAACGGGTAACAACAGGACTTTCCATAAAAACAAAGTAATTCTCTTAGGAATTACTGCAATACATGGAATTAAACCTGTCTCTAAGATAGAGACTCTTCTTATGAAACGTACATCAGTGTATCTATCACTTGTACTTTTGAAAGTAATTTAAATAAAACATCCAAATGATTTACTGTCACCTCTTCTACTGTTGCTTTAGGATTTGTGAGTATGAAAAGATCAGCATGCTTGTCTACTAAAGAAAATAAATCCCACGTATACATATCAGTCTAATTACTTCATTTTGAGTAACTCCCATGGTAATTGCGCATTTGTAAACAGAACAAAATGGCACATGGTGCTCAAACATTTATTTCCATACATTTCACAATGTATTTCTTAATAATCTTCTCTAGTCAATGGTTCTTCATATTTTTAGATGCAAGCAATTTAATTTAGCAAAATTAAAAAGACAATACTACCAACTAAGGCCTTTCAAATTTTTGCAGGTGATAAACACACACACTTGCTTACCTTGTTAATTTAGTTAACTAACATAAAACCATGGCTGACCTTAGCTCCAGGAAGTACTTCATTTTGCTTTAAGGTAAGACTCAGCTCCATTCTCCCAATCAGCCTACTAATCTGTACAGGGTCAGAGGGAGGAACTTCTGGCAAGTTTCTTGTTAATTGTGGATGTGGCTCATATACAATTTTTGGGTTCCAGCTAGGTGAAAGCTTTGGTTCGGTTGCCTTTAAAATGCAAGGGGGAAAAAGGGAAATAGTCTGTATTCTAGTCTTTGTCAAAGTAGTACAAATATTTATGACAAATAAACCTAAAAAGCATAGAAAGGGCAAATACATTCACATAACTAGAAATCTGACACCTGCCCTGACAAACATTTATTAGCAAATTTGAAATAAACAAGCAAAAGCAATCTCAAAGTGTTAAGCCATTTATAGGAAGTGATACAATCTTTAATAGTTTTTCCACAGTTCAATTTCCAAACAAATTCCAGTGTTATAAGTCCCATTTTAACATACTGTGAGTTTGCTCTTTAACACTCATCATCTTCCCTCCTACATAACAGAATTATTTGATCAAAGAGGTTACCAGTATTTCTCCTACAAATTCCCAAGGGTTGCTGGGCTCAGAAGTTGGAGAACTACTGATCAACAGGAGTTAAGAATGCACTCACTGATCTACCAAAGCACTAGTCTAAACAGAGTGCACTTCCTCTATACTTATTAGGCTACTACATAGATATGTAATCATACAACACATTTCATCCATGATTAACTTTACATCTTTATATAATTTACTGCATTTTACCAACTGCGTAGCTGAACACACTGGTGAGGACTTTGCTGATGCAGGAAACTCGTCCCAGAAGAAAGAGACGCCCGAGAGCTGAAGTAACTTGTGAGCAAATGCTGTGGGCTGATGTACATTAATTCCAGAGCATTCATCAGCAGTTTCATCACAGTACATAGTTCTGAGAGACAAAAGCAAGGAAATAAGGATGCAAGGGATGGCATGCAAATGTTCTACCTTATATTGTGCCATCTAGCCTCTGTTATAAGTTTAAATGTGTTCCTTCTTTTCAGACTATTTACAATGCTGCTGATTGTCCCAAAAGGAAAAATCACTACTCTCTGGGAACTTGAACTTCTAGGAGGATACTGTTACATACAAGTTGCACCACATTTGAGGTGGATTCATCCTACAATAGATTCTTAATATTTGCTGTGCAACCTTATCTCCGAGTTAAGGACTCTGCTCTATGTTCTTTTGTTATTTGTTTCCACCTGTAAGCATGTTCCCTAGCCTCAGAACTTAAGAACATTCGTAAGTGGATGAAATTAGAACAGAAAAAGATGTTTGAAGTCTTAATGAAATATTTCAACGTAACACTTTCTTTTATGTCTAAAGGATTTTTGTTTGATTAAGCAGAAAATTGACAGACCTGGACTTAAGCTATATTTAGCATACACCCAAAATTCACTTATCTTGATTTTTGAATTCACACAAAATGAAATTTCCTCTAATAAAATATGTCTGCATAGCCTAAACCTTGGAACAACGCACACTTAAAAACAAAGTTAAACCCCAGAAAAAGAAAACCTGCGGTAGGAATAACCATTTCCTTTTTTTTTTCTCCTTAGTAGCTCAAACACTTAAATCATGTTTTCTTAAACTACTGTGTAAGCATAGCTTTTAATATGTAGGGGGTTATATTTTTGGGAGGTTGGGGGAGGTGAATAACTAGAAAGGCTGGATAGTTGCTTTTACTGCTAAGCTCTCTCTTCGACTAGACTCAGCAACTCTTAAGTTAGTAACTTTTCATTTGTTTGGGAACAAACTATAAAACATCAGCATTTCAGTATAAGTAACAGCAGTGTTATAATGGAGTGATTGTTATACTGCAATAACATAACACCACCATTTAATTAAATTAAGCCATAGATCAAATATGCTAAATGAATATTTTTGCAACATCTGCAATTTGCAAGTTATACTGCATTGGACCTGGCTGGTTCCTGCACCTTAAGAAAGAGATCAAATAATAAAGATTTTGTAAAACATTTGCAGGATTTTGACTTTTTTCTTAAATGAAGAATGACTTCCAAAAGTTCAATGTCCAAAAATTGAGTTTTTTTTTAAAGACCTGAGTTACCCCTTCAGACCACTCTTTGTAGCTGCTTGAGATAACAACAGATGCTGCTGGGTGCTGAGCATTTAAAAAAAAAAAATTTGCTGACTCAGCTGCCTCAGTGAGAACTATATAGTAGGGCTGTGTGAAGATTTGGTCGCTGATTAGATTCGGCAGAGATTTGGCCTGATCCGGCAGCCGAATCTGAACCGAATCAGGAGACCCTTTACTCTCTCCAAATCAAATTGGAACCCTCTGAATCGATTCAGAGAAATTCAGTGATTTGGACATAGACACAGCTTTAAATATTTTTTCTACATATCTCAAGGTACCAGGCGGCTCATGAATACAGAGATGCTGGGGCGCATGAAGTATCCCATGGGAGTGCGGGGGTGTCCCCAGCATGCTCGGCAGCAGACCCGGAAGTAGACCAGAAGCACTTCCAGGTCCACCGGGGACCCCCCAGAACAGTGACTGGTGCCTCCTGGGTCTGGGGGGCACCAGGGTCCCCCCACAGCCGATCACCAAGCCAGGGACAGGCAAGGGAGGGTCCCCCCCGCGCACTGGACCCTGAAGTGGACCAGAAGTACTTGGTATGTAGAAAAAACTATGGTCGAATCAGCATCGAATCTTCAGATTCAGATTTGGCTGAATCGAATCCGGACAGTGATCCGAATCAACATATCAAATCACTATCCCCAATTCAGGCCGAATCCAACTCCAAATCGAATACGGCCCGTTTCACACACCCCTACTGTAAAGCACTATTATCTTTTGTAAATCTGGAAATGTTCTGAAGACTGCAATGTGAATAATCTTGATAAACTTTTTCCAACCCATTTTTTACCAAAAAATGTATTACATTAAAATTAAACAGTGCAGATGATGTGGACAGTGCTCTATTGTATAGGGAGATATGTATAACAGCGATACAGCTTCCTTTTTATTTTCCACGTAAATCTAGGTTGTAAAAGAAACATTACCTTTCTATTCGGATTTCAAGTGCAGATCCACTTTTAGAATTTTCTGGCACATGTTCAATTCGCAAAACAGTATCCAAAAAGGTAACTTTTACTCTTCTTAGAACTGCAGTGAGAAAACAAGATGACAATATAAGTACAAAACAAACATACAAAATCAGTGAGACACACTGCCAACTTATTTGAAACCTGATACTTATTCATTGGTAGAGTTATAATTAGATTTTTTTAACGTAATATCAAGATTTCAAATGAGAATCTGGATTTCTACTAACAACCTTCTGTTTCTTTCAATTAGATATTCATAAAACTCAAGTGGAAACAAGCCTAAAATTAATACCATGCTGCATCAAGGTGCACAATGTATTTTTCTTCAAATAAAAATAGTACAGAAGGCTCTTCGAGCAGTTTTTTTCATTTTAAGTCTACTAACCTTAATATTGATCCTGCTGTCACAGGCAGCACTGAATTGGCACTGCCAAAACCAAGGTATCTTTTAAGTCAATGAAGATAACTGTCCAGACTTATACCAGTACTAGGCACAAAAAACCTGGCCCTCATAAAGGTCTGGCTCAGCAAAATGTAGGAACAGTTTTGTTTTGTTTTTTAATAGTAGTTTTATTTTCTTTAAAATAAAAGTACAAGTCTTATCCTCCCCTCCAGTTTGTATGGGTGCACCGATAGAGACTTTGAGCCAATACAGATAGCTGATATTTAAGGAGGCATATCGGCCAATACCGATCTGATTTCTGATACACAGCCCGCCAGCTTGAAGAGCAATGTCCAGCTGGTACGTCTGTTGTGGTGTAAGGGGAGGGTAAAGGGGTGGGGGGGCAGGCACTGCCCATTCAGGGTGAGGCAGGGCGCAGAACGGAGCTTCAGCTCATGTGAAGGGCATAAGGGGGGATGGCGGCAGCTCCCACCCTGCATTCACCCCAGGAGGGCATGGGGGGCATGTGCCCCCAGATCTGTGCCGGGTGAGGGTGGGCTGCCGCTGCAGGCTGTCAGGCTCTTCCTGGGTGGGGACTGGGCAGGGCTGTGCTTGGGATGGACAGCGACAGTGCTGGGAGGTGGGGTCAGCAGCCAGCTGAAAATTCACTGTAGCCTCCCCCAGTCCCGCTGCCTGCCCTGCCCCCTGCCAGGAACAGTCCAGTGCATCCTAGCCCCAGGGGCACATGCCCCCTGTGCTCCATCCCCCTGGACGAGCCGTGGCTCTGTCCCACGCTCCACGCCGACTGGGCAACACCTGCCCCTGCCCCTGGGCCAGCCCCATTCCCTCTCTCACTGTAGAGGCCTTGATCTGCTCCCCGCCATGCTCCTTCCCTCCCCCTTCCCCCACAACAGACTTACCAGCCAGACACAGCTCTCCAAGCTGCTGGGCTGTGGTCCTTGCTGCCTATGTGCTGCATCGCAGCTGTGCGCATGCATTGGGCATTTATTGGGCTCACTGGGGGAAAAAAGCTGATTTCTGATACACTCAATTTTCTTTATATCAGCGCTGATCCAATATCGGACCGATGTATTGGTGCACCTCTACCAGTTTGTAATGTTAGGAGGCAGGGTCCCTGCTAACAAGTTGTAGAAGCCATAGCAAGTGAGCTCACACTTCTGTAATGCTGTAATCTGGTGGGATTTGATTTAATGTAACCCAAGCTGTTCATTTAAAAGTCACAGTAAGGCATACCTGTTTCAATAGTTTCTGCAAACTTCTCAAGCCCTTCGAAAGGCTGAGATCCTTCTCCTTGTTCATCTGTCAATTTTTGACTCAGACACTCTTTTGCAAGTTGCATGCTGCTGGTCATAAAGCTTGACCAATACATAGGCTCAGACCCAGATGCTGTAGAATAAAGTAAGTCTTAATTTGGCTGTAGAAGTTATAAACACAACAAAACAGATGATACAGATAAATTAGCTATCTTCAGGGACCTACCCAATGAAATATTGTTCTGTACCTACCTTGGTCCTTGTTTAGTCTAGAATATAGAATTTGATATTAGCAGGTTAGCCAAAACAAGTTAATGTGTTATAGAAGTATAAAATGGAGCAAGCACACTGCCTTTAACAAGAGCTGCACCACTCAACTTTAAAAGTTTAATACATCTTTTCTACACTAGGCTTTTAAACACTCTTAACATCACATTTTTAAATTTTAGTCTGGAGAAACCTTAGATGGAGGTTAATACTGTTACAATCATGTTAAGTGGTAGAAGCTTGTCCTAAACTAACCAGCTGCCAGAAGATATCAACAAAGGTTCAGTGCGACCACTTAATTCAGTGTAATGTTAGTATATATTAAATGGAGACCAGGCATATTACTTAAGTATAAAAAAAGGGAAAAAACAGCAGCTACCCAAATAAAGCCAATCTGACTATAAATATGTTATACTGCTTCTACTCTCAGTCACAACTGGTATTTCATATGGGGTCAGGTATCTAAATCTTTTAAGAAAGATCTCAATATATATATTTCCTCAATGATATAGCTTTGTGGAAGAAAAAAGCAAACATATAGCCAGGAAAAAATAACCCCACCAACAAAAGAAGGCAATTTCTAACAGGGGAAAGAAAAAGCACAAGCAGTGACAAGTATGTCAGCAACAAGAGGAAGATCAGGGAGCAACAAGAGGAAGACCTTCCCTTGGTCTCCAAGAAACAGTGACTATCTCTTTCCAAGTGAAGAAATAATGTAAAGAATCACTGATTAATGATGAACTGAATTCCAAATAGTCATTATTTTTTGCTTAAATACTAGATTCTAACACCAATATGAAGGTTATTCCACTTGTCTGGTCAGTCCTATTGCTTATTCTTGTAAACCGTTTAGCTTAAGGCCTTGTTACATGGCAATTTTGGACCGCTCCTGGAGTTCTTAACCCCTGGATTATCCACATATTAACACCTGAAACTAGTTTTAATCACTCTTTAGATACCTTAAAGTTATGCCACTCCAGCCTAGGTTTCTCTCTGATCCACGTTACCCAGCTCACGTTATGTTAACATGTGGCCACTCTAGGTTACACAGTTGTGTAAACATCCCCTCACCCTTCCCCCCACTGGCCCAGACAGAGCCCACTGCCCAGCCCCTGCCCAACACCACAGATCTCTACTCCCTGCCCTCCTTCCCCCACTTACTTGTGGCTGCCCCCACTAGCTGTTCCAGAGGAGCAGGTAAAGAAAGGGTAACCTGCCTGACCAGCCTTCGCTGCTGCGGCTCTCTGGACAGGCTCAGCCTGAAGGAGAGCAGCAGCCCAGCAAAAGTGGCAGCACGGGGGCAGGGCAGATAGGTTAACCCTTCTCTGTCTGCTCCCCAGATAGCAAGGGGGAGGAGGGCTGTCGGGGAGCCCTGGGGGTGGTGGGGTAACTGAGGGAGCCCTAGGGGGCAGGGAGCATGGAGGAATGGGAGGCAGATGGATTCTTACCTTTCAGTTCTCCAGGTCCCTGCTGGCCTGAATGTGTGACTGCTCCAAACTCAAGCTAGCACTAACACTGATCAACACTTGAGCAGTTCACAGTGTAATGTGTAACAAGGCCCTTGCATTAGCAAGTAAAATTTGATCAAGACTTAGTTCTAACAAAAAAAATGAATGAAATTCAGGAGAACAAAAATATTTGTGATTTTGTTTAAACTATTTGAAGATGATATGCAAAGTAGTAGTAAAGCTCATGCTTTTTCACTTCTATATGACTTAAAAAGGCAAGGAAAAATGTTCTTCCCTTTCCTTCATTCAAAATTCAGGTCCTTTGTGGTCTCAAAAGATACTGTATCCTGTTGTATACTATACATATTTAAAAGGTTTAAATAAACTCTAAGGATGTTTGTGTAACAGTTTCCATTCATAAACAAAACTGCCTCAAGTTTTCAACAAGCGGTTTAATAATGGATGAGAGCAAAGTATTTTGGGCAGGTTAAGTAATGGTTAAATTTTAATCAGTACCAGCTGAACTAATGTAGTACCCATGCAGACACAGACAGGTTGAAACAGTCCAACCAGTCCTTCGAGCAGTGTTATTAAAGATTATGCCTGAATTTTAGGAATAAAGTATTTATTAATATAACTGTAGCAACCAAAATATGTTAGACAGTAAGTTAGCACACAGAACTGGTTAAAATAAAACTGTCATTATAATCTCTTAACATCTTAATATGGTTAATAACCTTCAATGCAAGCCACTGACCCATGAGATCATAAAATGAACCTACCTAGACGAGGCCTTGGCCTGAAGACCATCTCTAATCCTTTCACTTCTAGTGCACAGTTATCCTGTAGCAATGACCCCCAGGGAACGGACAAAGAAATTGTCTGGATAAATCCCTCCGTGACTTCTAGAGGTGCATCTGCTGACTCCAGGATCTCATTTAGACACTAGAAGAAGAAAACTCTAAATCATGTCCATAACTGTGAAAATGATAGTCAGTTAATGGCAGCAACATCTTTAGTATCTGATAAAAGGCATTAAATTAACACATTTAACAGACTGGCAGTTTTCTTGCATTTTTGGTTCCAGCAGTGCAACATATTACACACTAAAATTTTAACAGAATATTATTCTATCTGCAGATGTGCTTGTGATCTATGCAACTAAACTGTTCCAAAAAATTTCTCATTGTTAAGAATATTATAATAATGAAACATAAGTTAACAGCTCCTTTATAAAAATCACGCTACATTTTAGGAAAGGCTGACGTAGACCATGTTCAGTAACAGCTCTCCTGGTAAAGACTATGAGTGTACAGGTGTTCACATAGAGCACATACCAACTGCCAATGCTTCCTCAGCCTGACGAAGGGTATTTAGACCTGAAAGCTTGCAAAGATTTTTTCCAACTTTATGAGTTGGTCTAAGATATCAGATATACCCAAAGAACTTTGTCTGCAGGTGTTCACATAGTTCCCGTTGAAAACAAAATGGTGATTTTGGGAAAAAAATAACCCATCTCCAACCAAGTCACTCACAGAATCATAGAAAATTAGGGTTAGAAGGGACCTCAGGAGCCAATCTAGTTCACTTCCTTGCTCAAAGCAAGACCATCCCTAGCTGGACCATCCCCACCAAGGCTTTGTCTACCCAGGTCTTAAAAACATCCAAGGATGGAGATTCCACAACTTCTCTAGGTATCCTGTTCCAGTGCTTTCATAGATTTCATAGACATTAGGGGTGGAAGGGGCCTCACAAGGGGCAGGCAGCTGGGGTCAAAGGATCCCAGTAAGACAGGCATCAAAGTGCTTCTTGAAAGCGTCCAGAGTAGGTGCTTGCACCTCCTCTGGGGGAGTCTATTCCAGGCCCTGGGGACTTGGACCGTAAAGTTTTTCCTTATGTCCAGCCTGAAATGGTCTTCCAGGAGTTTGTGACCATTGGACCTTGTCTTCCCTTGGGGTGCCATGGTGAACAAATGTTCTCCCAGCTCCTGATACACTTATGTACTTATAGGCTGCCACCAAGTCAACCCTGAACCTTCGCTTTTCCAGGCTGAAGAGCCCCATGGCTCAACCTCTCCTCATAAGGCCTGCTCTCAAGTCCTCCAATCATGTGTGTGGCTCTCCTCTGGACCCTCTCAAGCTTCCCTTTACCACCTTCCTCATTAGAAAGTTTGTCCTACTATCTAACCCAGGGACAGGCAATTATTTTGGGTGGAGGGCCACTTACTGAGTTTTGGCAAGCCATTGAGGGCTGCATGACAGGCAGCTGGGGCAGATAAATATTAATTTTCTAAATTTTTAGGGGCCCTGTGGGCCAGATAGAATGGCCTGACAGGCTACATCCGGCCCACAGGCTGCATTTTGCCCACCCCTGATCTAACCTAAACTTACCTTGCTGCAACTTGAGACCATTGCTCCTTCTTCTGTTACCTGCTACCACTGAGAGAAGTCTAGCTTCATCCTCTTTGAAACCACCCTCCAGGTTGTTGAAGGATGCTATTAATTCGCTGCTCCTCTCCACCCCCGCCCCTGTCTTCTCTTCTCCATACTAAATAAACCCAGTTTCCTCAGCTTCTCTGCACAAATCATGTACCCCAGACCCCTATTTTCACTGCCCTCCACTGGACTCTCTCCAATCCTTTCTGTAGTGGGGAGTTCAAACCTGGACACAGCACTCCAGACGTGGCCTCCCAAATCTGAATAGAGGGGAATAATCACTGCTGGCAACACTTCTACTAATGCAGCCCACTATGCTATTAACTTTCTTCACAACAAAGTCATGCTGTTGGCTTATATTCATCTTCCTGTCCACTGTAACCCCCAGTGTCTTTTCTGCAGAGCTGCTGCTTAGCCAGTCAGTCCCAATCTGTACCAGTACATGGGATTGTTCCATCCCAAGTGCAAGATTTTGCACTTGCCCTTATTGCACTTCAGGAGATTTCTTTTGGTCCAGTCCTCCAATACATCTAGGTCTCTCTGAATCCCAGCCCTACCCTCAAGTGTATCTCCTCAGCTTTGTGTCATCTGCAAATTTGCTGAGGGTGTAATCCAGCCCATCTTCCAAATCGCTGATGAAGATATTGAACAAAACCAGCCCTGGGATTGACGCCTAGGACACTCCACTTGATACCAGCTGCCAACCAGACATCAAGCCATTGAGCCCAACAATCCAGCCTGTTTTCTATCCACCTCACAGTCCATTCATCCAACCCGTACTTGCTTAGCTTGCCTGACAGAATATTGTGGGAGACTGCATCAAAAGCCTCGATAAAGGCAAGGTATATCATATCCACTGCTCTCCCCACATCCATAGAGCCAGTCATCTCATTATAGAAGATTTGAGACCTGAGGACCTGCTCCAAGATTTTTCCAGGGACTGAGGTAATGCTTACCAAAATGGAGGTCCCTGGATCCCCCTTCTTCCCCTTCTTAAAGATGGGCACTATATTTACCTTTTTTCAATCATCCGTGACCTCCCCTGATCGCCACAAGTTTTCAAAGCAAATGGCCAGTGGCTCTGCAATCACATCAGCCAACTCCCTCAGCAACCTTAAGTGAATCACGTTCTATGGAAATGTACATATTCAGGTGTTCTATACAGTCCCTAACCTCTTCTTTCGCCACTGATGGCTGATCACCTCCTCCCCAAACTGTGCCGTCAGGTGCAGCAGTCTGGGAGCTGACCTTGCCTGTGAACACTGAGGTGAAAAAGGCATTAAATACTTCAGCCTTTTCTGCATCCTGTCACTAGGTTGCCTCCCTCATTTAGTAAAGGATCCACACTTTTCCTGATCTTCCTCTTGTTGCTGGCATACTTGTAGAAACCCTTCTTGTTACCCTTCACATCCCTTGCTAGCTACAACTGCAACTGTGCTTTGGCCTTCCTGATTTCATTCCTGACTTCCCGAGCAATACTCTTACACTCCTCCCTAGTTATTTGTTCAAATTTCCACTTTTTATAAGCTTCTTTTTTCTGTTTTAGCTTACTGAAGACTTCCTGCTTGGCCGCATTGGTTTTCTGCCACACTTGCTAATCTTCCTGCACATCAGGATGGTTCGCTCCTGCACTCTCAGCAGTGGCGTAGCGTGGGTCTCCGGCACCTGTGGGCCAGTGCTTACATTTGCCTCCCCCCTGGTCCGTAGCCAATTGCCG